TTACATAAAAATATAGTACTTCAGTCTTTTATAAAGAAAATAAAAGTAAATTTTGCAAAGATATACAACTCATTATTTAAAAGAAAAAATGCAAGAATATCGTGTCTCAATTACAGATGAGAAAGCTTAATACTTTACAGAATTTAAAACATTAATTATAGAAATTATCCGTTTAATAATTTTAAATTTAAAACCGACCAAAAAATTTATTTAAAAAATTTAAAACATTAAATTATTAAATTACTAAATAAACAAAGTTTTAATTTCCTTTCTCTAACATGTAATTCGATATCAACTTCCTACAAGAACAAATAAAAAGTAAATGGGCGATAAAAAACGAACAAGGCGACACATAAACCGAGTTATCCAGAGAATGTACAGAAATTTAAGACAACTTGTTAAATGTCTGTATTATCGTCTGCACAACTTTCTCCTGCTCTTTTTCCATGCCATGTTCCAATACGATCTCATAGAAACGGTTGCTTGATCGATCACCTTTGATTGATTCTCGTCACGATCACTCGACCGGATATTTACATCTTCCACCTTATTGCTTTCCAATGTTCGTAATATTAAGTACACGTTAATCAATTTTTTAAATAATAAACATCGTTAATATCAATAAAACTCAGTAAAAATTTGAATAATTAAGTTTATATTCTTATAGAAAAATGCTGACTAAATAATTAAATACGTCGATCGTACCAACAAAGCGCAGGAAATCTCAACGAGGTAAAAACTTATACAAATTATTTTCGAACAGAAAATTAAAAATAATATTTACACGGATAAAAACAATAATTTGGCGTTGTAAAAATTACTTTTTTCAAAAAACTCTTTCCATTGTTAACTGGAAAATAAAGTAAAATTGCAGCAGATAAAGCGGTGGAGATTGGATGCGGCATTGGTCGTTGTTTGAATTGATAACTCTTAGATCGAGCATATCTTTTAGTTGGTTAGATGACAGCTTATTATGTCTTCGTCAAAAGCAGCTGCCCTGTTGACTGCTCACACACATCTTCACGTGATGACGGTCAGCCTACCAAGCAGGAAATTAAAGAATGTTGACAATGTTCACCCTCCAGTACACAAGTAACAATAATAATACCAAAGCGACATGATAAAGATAACTGAGTTTTTTGTTGAAAATTTACATTGATTTTAAATTACATCTTGATATTTTTACTAAAATAAAATACTTTAGTTTTGTAATGCTTTTAAATAAATAAATTCTTAAAATTGTTTAAATGTACCCAAGCCATGAATCAATAATTCATAATAAAATTATTGGGATTAAACTTGGATTAATTAATTTTCCTCAAAATGATAAGATATGTTGTATACAAACAACAAATCTTTACCTTTGAGGATATATTGTGTTTAAAACAAGCTATGTTAGTTCATTTTTTAATTTGAAAAAAAAGTCTATCTAAATAAGTTTATACAAAAGTAGTTAATAATATTAATTTTTGATTCTTCAATGTATATAGCATAAAACAAGAAAATTATTTGAGACAAAAATGCCAACTTTTTCATAGTGAAGTATTTTCAACAAACTTCCTTTAATTTCTCCATGTACATTATGTGTAATAGTATATTTATTGTAAAATTGATATGTCACTTTTAGCTATTTTAAATTTTATTTGGAAAATCAGAATGTAATAACAAAAACGAGGGGCATCAGCCCAAAATACATATTGGCACAACTGATTTAAAGACTAAAGCACACAGGAGAATAAAGTGGATAAGAAAAAAGTCCAGTGTAATATCAACACTTCATGGTATTTTTAAAAACAATCTAAAAAAGGGCATGGTTTCAACACAAAGAAATTTAAATGGTGTTTAATTTTAATTTTATGTCATCTTTTAATTAATTTTATATCATGTCATGATGTGCATGTTTTATGTTTTCAAAGTATTTATTATAAAAATGTCACACTATCTGTCAAACATTACCCATATCCCAAACAAAAATTTATTTAAATTTTCAAAGTATTTATTATATATTACATAAATGTTTTACTTAAAAAATTAATAAAATTATCAATTTAGAATCTGAAGAATGTAATATCTCACAAAATGATGTTATTTTTTATTGTCAAAATTTTAGAAATTAGAAATCAATTCTTCATGATTCTTAACAAATGAGCTATTTTACCTAAATATAATTATTGACACACTCCACATTGCACAATTTAAAGTCTTGATTTAGTAAATAGGATTTAACTTTACAATATTTAATTGAAAATACATTTATACAACTAAATTCTGAAGCATTTTCTTACAATCATTAAAAATATTAACTTAAAAATCTTGGTGGATAAGAAATTAACTTTTTCAATTGGGGATGTAACTGAAATTAAAGTTTACCCAAATGGCATTTTGAATCACGTGAACATTATTTTTAAATTTCAGCTTGAAAAGAATTTTAATTTATTTTCTTACTCTCAAATTAATATTTTAAAAACATTTAAAACCCAACCATATGAAAATACATAAACATCAGTTAAAGATTACACAATTATAAATCTTTCAATTTCATAATAAATAATAAGTTAGTAAGTTATGTATCTCTGAAAACTGATCCAAACCAGAAAGAATTTTAGTGCTTTTAGATATGTAATATTCTAATCATTTAGTAGTTTAAAAATGCTTACGTAAACCTTTAACAATGTTCCTAAAACAAGTAAAAATTTGTCTAATAAAATCATAACACTTTACAAATCATTTTATATCAGATCTATTAGAATTTTCATAATGTAAGTTTTATATCCCATTAAAATCCATTAAAACTGTTTTACATAATTTATTATGCACATGAATACACACTTTATTTGCTACTACTAATAGATTTCAAAGGCCAGAAATTATGAACTTTTTTACAGACAAAAGAAAATCTTTAAGTAGTTAATCTTTGATCAATAAAAATAAATTTTTATATTTCTGTTAAATATTTTATGAAAATTATTGCAAAATAATTTAAACTAAAGTAAACATTCATAAATTAGGGAATACTTTAAAACCAATGTTTACAAATTATTTCTGATTAGGTTTCTTTTTTTATAAATTTTAAAATCAGTAAATAATTTGGAATTCATAAAGCTTTCAAATATATCAATTAGCATAAAATTAGTTTTAATAAGCTTTTAAAATATTACCTCTTCAAAATCTGTGCCACTACCAACATCATCATCGGAATCATCTTCATCTCTCCATTTGTTAAAATCAACTTTCAACCAATGATGCTAAAAATATATTTATCATTAATTCATTGAATACGAAAATAATTACGGTAAATTTTGTTGTTATTTGCTTGACCACAAGGATTAAATGTTTTCCTCCTGGTTGATAAAATATCATTCATTTTGCTGCACCATGAATACTCACTCCTATTATTCAGAAGAATAAATAGGAAGAAATAAGCAGCGAAATATCCTAGCATTTAATTTCCACAATATTTTTATTGCATAATTCCAAAAATAACATTAAAAATAAATATTTAAGCATACTATTTAAATAGTCATTACCTTTTTGGCATCTTGAAGTAATCTGCTCCAATAAGGACCTTCCTCTGTTTTAATTAAAACAAATTCAACTCCCCGATCTCTAACAACATGTTTTGAATCCTAAAATTGATGAAGTATAGATAAATAAAGACATTAATAATTTGAAGTATTTGAATTAACTTATATTCACATCTAAATCTAATGATCATCATACTTGTCAAAATATGATAAGTACACAGATTTTTTAAAATAACTTCAATATGCTCATCATAAGCTTTAACAAAGATATATAAACAGCTAGTTGTTTACCTTTGCTAGTTAGTAGACAAGTTAGGCTTCATTTTTATTAATAAAATATTGTTCAAATAAAAAAAAAATTGGCAAATTTTTAAAAATAAGAGGATAGTAAAAACCTGCCTTTTTAGAAACCGATATTTTTACAATTTTTACTTGTTATATAATTGACTTAGTTAAATCATATTGTTATTTTTATGAACATTGTAAAATGCAAAACACATACAGTCGACCCCCCTATTATGTGGGTTCCTATAACGGAAATTCCTATAACATAGCGAAAAAATTGCGGCAGTATTCGTATAAAGGAACTCGTAAAACGTCGTTGCCGACTCATGTCGTGACAAGATTGGTCAAATCTGGACCAATAGTGGATGAGCAGCCGAACTACTTTCCACCGTCCAGCGCCACGCTATGGAGAGTTTAGGCAAGTAAGTTAAGTTTACTATCGTCTGCACAGTATGTAAATTAGGTACCGTAAGTCTAATACAGCACTAATTTTATACATTTCTTGTGAAAGAAACATTTCTTATTCAACGGCCATAAAAATTATTTCTATTAATGATGTCTCCAAAAATCAATGAATTTTTCGCAGAAAAATAATTTATCAGAAAACGCGGACGCCATTTGGTGTGCTGCTCCATGACGAAAACAAGCTTAAGCAATGGCGACATTGAACGGTGCATACTCGGTAAGTAATCCTACAATTTTTTGTTTATAGCATAGTTTATACAGATTATTCCCAAAAAATTATACGTGTTTTGGAAATGTTGAGTGGAATTAGTCTAGAATCGGTTAATTTTATAGAAGAAAACCTTTCAAACAGCATTAGTCCGTAAACTTCACACGTGTCGGACTGTGACTGGCTCATGTATTTAAGGATTCCTACAACGTAAAATTCTTATAAAGTGGAACGTATCTAAGCCTTATAGGGGGGTCTACTGTACTGTAAATACATTTAATTTTTTAAATTTAATTACCATCCGACATTATTCTACAAAGATTTGCCACCAGGGGCAGCTGAAAATCTATATATATCAACACTTGCTTTTAGTGGCTATAAGCTACAGTCCCTGAGTAGTCAGGATGGAAAATGCAAGACGTCTGAAGTATCACCTGTTCAAATTTTAAACATTTGTTTTTAATTACACCATGCTTTCATTGTTTTTAAAGGGAGTTTTTAATTTTGACCAGGGCTGTGGAGTCAGTCATGGAGTTTTGGTGTTGGAGTTGGAGTCGTCAAAAAATTCGCTGACTCCGACTCCTTTTTACTTCCCAACTTGTAATGTATATAAAACGGAAAAGTATTGGAATCATGTCAAATTTGACCCTCCAAGTTTTTTTTTGCAAATCTGCACGTTTGGAAACCTCCCGAAACCCTAAAAAATTCAATAAAAGAGAGAAAATTCGCATGCGCAAGCTGGCATCTAATTTGTTTAATTTCTTTATTTTCTGTTCTGAGATATTAAAAAAATCTCAGAATGAGTAAAGTTTAAGAAACAAAATGTGGCACTGTAGCTTCCATACACAAGCTACAGTACATTACTGTAATACTATTAAATTTTGGGTCTTAATTAAAGGTCGACAGGGTGAAAACATAAAAGCGGTCATGTGGGTCATATCTCTTAACGACTATTTTACTGGTTATTAGCATTCAAAATTAAAAAAAGAAATAAAAATTGTCTCTACCCTCAAAGTAAGCTTTTTTTGTCATTTTATAATAGTACAGTAAAACCTGTTAAGACGTTAGAATGTATATGGGGACATGATTTAGTTCAACTACTTTGACGCTTAATAACTAACTCCTGTGTTAAACCATCTGACTCCGATTCTGAATACTCTGACCACAGAAATTATTAGGCTTCCAACAGGGTGAACAAAATCATGCCTCACACACACAGTCTAACATCCATACATATAAAAAAAAACCTCGAATCTTTTGAATATCTCAAAATTTCAAGATGTCCTGAGTCCAAAAATGTAAAAATTGGTAGGGACCATTTTTTGATCGAGCGCTACACTTTCCCTCTGTTATATATAACAGCTGAAAAAGTAAAAATTATCGAATACATATTTACATATTACTTAGAAGAGTCTTTTAACTTTGGAATAAAAAGTTTCTATGTTTTATCTTTACTGCAACTCTATTTATTAAATCTTTTATTCTGAGGTTACATGATGACATCAGAATTTCCAGGTCTCTTTCAGTAACATGTTCGCCTCTGGTCAGAGTCGGATGGCAAGGAAAAGTCGGAGTCGGTACATTTTTGCATGACTCCACAGCCCTGATTTTGACAGTCAAGTAGCCAAAAAATAAAGGTCAGTCATGTCAAAAGTGTATTCTGAAACATTGAAATAAAATAAATGGCGATTCTTACTTCAACAGACACTGTCTTTAAAAATTAGTTTTTAATTTTTTAAATTTAATTACCATATGGTATTATTCTGTAACATACTGTTTTATTTGCTCATTTATATAATCTTTTCTTTTGACAAACAACGGTCTTACTGTAAAATATGATTTAACTCAAAATTTTCTATGAAACTGTTTTATTTACATAAATTCAGCTTTGTTATAATAAAAATAAAATTGTTCTTTTTCTTTCAGAACAGAATATGTTTCTGTTGAGAGTACAAATCTCCAGTGAAATGTAGTAATATGCTATAGCAATTAAGTTTTTTCTTTGTGTATTATAAGCATTATTTTTTCATTATTGTATACTAGCTGTATCCAGCAACGTGTTGCTGTTGCTCAAAACATATCTATTATAAATGTATAACACTCCCTGTGGAGGGAATTTCGAAAAATCCCTTTTTAGTGTACATTCTCTTGATGTACTTTATTAAAACACAATTAACCACATCTAAAATAGTATAATACAAGCTGAGTTCTTCACAATAAGCCTTAATTTTGTCCCTCTTTTCCATGGTGGGAATTTCAACATCTATATAATATAAAAACATGCATGTATTCAAATACAACGTTGTTTCAAAATTTCAAAGCAATCAGTGAAGAACTTTCGGAGATTTAAGATTTTGAACAAACATTTACATTTTTATTTATATAGATTTCAAACTTATATGAAAAGAATTAATGGTCCACATATTTAAAATTCACATCACTTGGCAATATTGAAGAATGATGTTTAATATTTATAGTGAAGATTTGTTTCCAAATGTTCTTTAGCACTTCACAAGGGTAGTGTTTTTATGAGAACATATCAAAATTTGACTGTACTGTACATAAAATCTAGAAAAATTTGTATTTAAATAACCTGTTTAAACTTTATTTACTAGTAAATATGTAAAAAAATTCAGATTAACACTAACCTCTGGTTTTACTTCTTTAAAAAAGTTTAAAGTTACTTCATATTCTTTATTGTCTGGGCCTCCTTTACCCCTAAAAATACAATATCAATATTAAATAAAATATATGAATGTGATTTATTAGTTAATAAATCACTTTCACAACTTCAATAATTAAATTGGTCAAGTTTGTTAACCTGACCAATTTAATTATTTTTATCAACAGAAAGTTCTTATTTGACAATTCTTTAATTTAATATTCTGTCAAATTTCTGAAAATCAATCACAAGAGTTTAAAAAAAATTATATCACCAGTTGTTCTATCATTCTTTTATTATAATCCCCTACACTTAATTAAATTTTAATAGTATTAATGCTGAAATTATTAATACATATTCCAAATTTTTTCCAATGCTAATATAAGTTATTTAAAATTACAACAATTCAAGTACAGTGGTACCTCAGGATACGAACACCCCAGCATACAAAATTTTCAAGATACGACATGAAATTCAAACATATTTTTGCTCCACAATAAGAACAAAAACTCACCATACGAAGTTACATTAGTTCGCAGCGCCATTTTTTATTCACTTCTGTTCGTTGGTCTCAGTCCGTGTGTTTGCTTCATCGTGGAAGGATCTCGCTTGGTAAAGGAAATCTTGAGGTATTATCAGAAAGTGACTGATTTTATTGAAAAGCAACATCCCAAAAAGGTTCACACTGGCCGTATTGCTGCTCGGAGTAATGACGTTTGACTAAGACATTTTAGAAACATTTTAAAAAGTAGGTAAAGCCAAACCTTTTTGGATAGATATTTTACCAAGTGACCTCTATCCAGTGAAAGTGCTGGTGGAAGTGAAGGAAAGAAAGCAAAAAGCAGTGAATAAAAATTTTAAAAAATAAATAATGCATAAAATTTACTGTATACTTTGTTGTTGCAGCCGTCTTGGCAGAAAATGCCAGACTTCGTAACTTGAAAGGTGTACTAGACACCTTTGCCAATATAATGAGTGCATATCGGGGAGAACTACTCTGCGAAGTGATTACGGCAAAGGCAAGTTTTGAGAATTTTTTTTCTAGCCAATTGGATTTATCATTTAAAATGTGTTTAAGAGAATTTTTTTAATGTATAAATTCATTNGAAGGAAAGAAAGCAAAAAGCAGTGAATAAAAATTTTAAAAAATAAATAAAAAATAAAACAACACTAATTTTTTAAAATCTTTTCTAAATTATTTTAAAGTTATTGTTACATTATGTTATGTAAGTTAAGTTTTAGTATCATTTCCCTTCTCCCTCTCCTCCGCCACCAGTTTACACTTCCACCGTCATCTATCCTCAAAGGTAAAGTGCAAATAAAACTACATTTTTTTTTTTTACCAATTATTATTCTCTTACGGTTATACATTTACAACTACAAAATGCATTTTTCAGTGTTTTCCTTACTATAGTTATTATTATTTTTAAATGTATTACTTAGCTTTAATTTGAGTGTGTTTTTCGTGTTGGAACGAATTATTTGGTTTTACATGTAATCATATGGGGAAAAATGATTCACCTTAAGACATTTCCATGATATGATCCGAGTGTTGGAACGGATTAATTTCGTATCCTGAGGTACCACTGTATACTGAAAATTCATCAGAATAATACTTTTTATTTAATGTCATTTTTAAAGCTAGAATCCTTAGAAGCTTCAAAAACATTTAAACTATTGACTAGATTCTAATATCAAATAATTTCCATTAAGTTAAAAAATTTTGTTCATTTTCATTAACTTTATATACAGGATTTTTCAAAAGAAATGCACTACAGATGGGAGTAGGTTGTAAGTAAAGCATCAAGGCAAGTGTGTAATATATTGGTTATATGATATATCAGTGTTTTTCAACCTTCTTGAATAAGCGACCCCTTTACAAGTTAAAAAATTCTGGCAACCCCCAGGGCCATATTAAAACTGTCAGTGATTTTAAAAACTATGTATTTAAGTCTCTTTCTGTTGAGATCTAAATATCGATCAAAAAACCAATTGTACTGTAAAATAAACAGGCACAGCCTTCTCACTGATATTGTAGTTTTTTTTTATTGTAGTGTAGGACTCACAAACACTTGTCTTTTTCTTTTACCCACAATCACCCGTGTAAGGCTTTGTGACCCCCCGGGGGTTTGCGACCCACAGGTTGAAAAACACTGATATCATTTTGGGTCTACAGTACTATCAAATTAATTGCACAAAATTCTTGTGCGTGGTGGACTCACTTTCAATTAATGTATTGCATAGTTCTGTAACTCAACATACTGGGGCTTAATTTTTATGGAATTGAAAAGATCAGTTGAAAACAACTTTTATTCTGATCAATTTCTTAAGAGCATGCATTTTTTACAAGATATTTGTCAGAGACATTATAAAAGAACTGCACTGATTTTGATTTAAAAAGATTGTCATGATCTACACATATTCTGATTATAATTATATAATTAATAAAAAATATTTTTCAAATTACTTTTAGGTTTATAGATGACATGAAAATGATTCCTATTCTGGACAATTATAATGTTGGTGCACTCGTTCTGTCACAGTGTGTACTATCTTTAAAATTTCTTTTCTTAATTTTTCAAAATAATTTTTTAATTAAAGTTTTTATATTTTACAAATTTCTTATCCTACATATTTTTCTCGCATAGTCAACCAATGCAATTAATTTAGAATAATTCTTTGTGTTTAACTTGTAGACAAAATTGGTGAAATGAGCTGTGCACACAATCAAAATTTTTGTGCACTGCACAAAATTTTGATTGCACTGAATTATTAAGTGCAATATACAAGTGTGTGCACACTATCAGGAATCCTGTATGGAGGAAAAAACAACTTTAATATGTTCTTTGTCTGGATATATGATAAAATGCTTCGTTTTTCATGACGTGAAATCTCAAACACCTTTTTAAAATAGCCTGTATATATTGTCAACAGCAATACATTGCTCCTAGAAGAGGTTCATATTGCAATTTTTCCACAATGAATAATATGAAGTAAATTAAAATGCCCATTTTAATTCTAAAATCATAATTTATGTTAAAATAACACAAGTAAATACCCTAATTAATGCATAAAACAATAAAAAAATAATAATAGATTAAAAACAATGAAAAAGTAAATAATGCAATCAAAAGCAGATGAATTTAGTGCAGCTAGGCTTGTTCAACAGGTGTCCCAAACTCTATCAACTGATTTAGAAAATTAATGGATTATCACTGTAGCACAAAGTGCATGGATTCCAACTTGTTCCAACTCAAACACTCAAGGTTGAATACCTAGAGTATTTGAGTTCTGAGATACCACTGTACTCCAATCCATTCTTTTGCTTACTCATTTTTTACATTTCTGTCTTGTTTAAACTTGCTCTTGGTAACAACCTTTTAGTAAGAATTTTTCAGCTAAGTAGCCATTAACTTTCTGCTAATTCAAAGTGCACAGGAATAGATCACAATGCATTGCAACTTGCAACACATGTGATTTATTACTTAAATTTGTGTTCACAGATAATTATTCAGTAAATTAGATATCTTGTGTAACTGATCTTAAATTTATTTTACGTACAAAACTTTATTGATTAATTATTTTAAACAATAAAAGCATTAACTGTGTCAAGATTACAGACAGGAGAGAGAGAGAGAGATTAAAATATTAAAAAATGTAACCAAATGATGAATCAGCAACTTTTATTTAAAGTAACTGGGATTAAACTTGGATTATTTTACTGTTCCTCAAAATTAATTAGATATGCTGTATGTCAACAACAATCTTGCCCTTTGAGGAAAATTTTATCACAAAAATACATATCAGAAATAACTCATAAAATAAATAACCTTGTCAGCTCTATATTTAGAATAAAGGAACAAAGTCCATAGGATGAGCAAACAAAACTAAAATTATTATTTATATTATATATATATATTTTTTATATATTCAATTTTCTCCTCTCATACACAGTGAATCTATTAAGTTTTAGGATGTAATTATTTGTAAAGAGAGCACTGGCTACACCATCTATTGGCCAATGACAGATTTTGATACATGTATGTCTTGACTTGTTACATATGAAGTTTTGCAAAGATCAAAGTTGTTTTGTGCCATGTATAGTTGAATGTGATTGAGTGAAGAGCTCTCATCATGGATTCAGATATGGTGCAACAAGTGACAATAAAGTTGTGCTGTAAAGCTGGTTAAACTGCAATGCAAACAGCTGAACTGATTTCAGCCTAAGGTGATGAAACACTATCACAATCCAACATTTTCTGCTAGTACGCATGATTTCATGATGGACGAAAAGATGTTGAAGATGACCCTGGGAATGGTCACCCTAGAGTGCATATACTTTTTGTTTCAGATGAATCGATTTGTAAGATCGAACCAGTCTTTGTCATACTAAGGTACTTTGTCATACAATTGAAAGATTTTTTTTGGCACCATACAGTAAAAGCAACTTGGAAATCAAATTCTCTTTGAAATGGACCATTGATTAATATATTCATCAAATTGCTAACATTTATTACATCTAGTGTATTGCATTTGGGGTTTTAATGAGATTCATTTCATTAAAACCAATATAACTCCTCCTCCACTTAAAATTATTATACAGCGATCTAGGTTTGTTACACTTACACCTTCTACCCATAGATATACAGTAGACCCTCATTATAATCATGCTTTTTTTTGTCCCCAAATTTTAAAAGCATTTGAGTCAATAAATTTTAAATTACCAATTACCATTGAATTTCTTTTTGCAATGAAATATGGTATCTTATTCCTACCATTGTCCTTGAAACTACCATTGCAGGTGAAACAATAAATTCATCAGGATCTAAATATGCAAAACATGTGGACAGATCGATTATCATTAACATTTCCTTTTGATATTAAAAGTTGTTTATTTATTGGTTTCAAGAGGTCCCCTCATTTACAAGTTTCTGTGAATTCAAAATTTCATGCCTTTATGTGAATTGATAGTATTGCATCCATTCATACAAAGGCATGAAATTTTGAATTCACCAGGGGCTGTATTCTGGTCACTGTCTCTGGTCTCTCGTAAGCTGGTCGCTGATTGGCTAATCATTTGGATTAACCAATCAGCGACCAGCTTGTGGGAGACGAGAGACCAGAGACAGTGACCAGAATATGGCCCCAGGTGTAAGGAAAAGATTTCTTTATTTCTGAACATAAAGTTCTAAAATTTTTACACAGTAGTAACTTCATTTTTTTACAGAATTTTTACTCTTAATTTTATAAGTTTTGATTATTTTTTAAATTTTCAAATACTGTATTTATAATTTTTATTAAAAAATATATATTACACAAATTTTTAATAAGCGATTTATTGTGAAATATAGTACAGTATAATAAAATAGCAACTGATATTTTGTTTTTATAATGACAGTATTTGTCTTTAAATGTCATTGTTAAAGAAACAATGCATTTGTGGTATTACATAAACATCAATTAATTAATATGATATAACCACGAATAAAATTTGGTATTGCAAAACTACACTTGCTGATGAAAGAATAGAGGATAGAGATTCTATTGCATGTATAATCTGTTTAGTATTCTGTTATATCACGCTTCTTCCGTCTCTCTCGACAAGCATGATATAAAATGGGGTTACTGTATCAAAGCATTTTTGAAGTAATTCTGAAATGTACAAAAACACACCATCATACAGAAACTATCACATGTGTCTTAGTATGAAATTTTCCATTGCTTTTTCATGAATTTGCAGACAAAAGTTGTTGTTAAATTAAACCACTAGTCACAAAAAAGTGAAAAAACTACCAGTAGCAAGATCCCTAATTTATCAGATATTTTAATAATGATGTTTTTACTTACCATTTATAAGTTTTAAGTACAGTATTTTCCATTATTGAAAGTTAAACATCTTTCTTTGCTGTCAACTATAAGTTGACTTTAGCCATGGTGGTTGCCATCTTTAATCTTTTTTATTAAAGATTACCCTTCTACCTTCCTTTCAGATTAGTTTGATCACTATAGTTTGTTCGTATTACAATTTGAACGATCAGACTAATCTTGGATCAGTTTGATTCAAGAAGTATATGCACCCCTAGTGAGCGTTAAAATGAAGATGTGACTGACAGGATTCAACAACTGCTGATTTTACAAATCACCTGTCAGTAAGAATGATATCAGAAGTGTGTATCAGCAAGGACACTGTGCAGAAGATCATCACAGAAGATTTGAAGAAAAAGAAACTATAAAAGATTCATTTCACTCTCTCTGAAGAACAGAAAGAGTAGCAAAATGCTACATGCCAAGATTGACTGGAACAGCAGTTTGTGCTTAACCACACTCCTCATCCACCAAATTATTGTTCCTCCTGCTGATTATTTTCTATTCCCCACAGTGAATTACCAACTAAATGGCATCATTTTGACTATTTGATATTCAGGCAATTGTGATAACAGAACTAAGTCTATTCCAGTTGCCAAGTTCTACAGTGGAATGAAGAAACTATATGACCATGTCAGTGATTTACAGACTTAGGACAGACATATCTTGAAGGATAAATAATAAACAAGTTATTTCATTCATGTATGTATTTTACATTAAATCAATCCTAAAACTTAGTAGAGGCACAGTAATTTCTCTCTCAATGCACCATAAAGTATTGAGAGAAAAATTACTTGGAAATATGTTAGGCAAAAGAATCAGTCATACTTCAGCTGAGATTAGAATTAGACCATTCACAAGGTAGAGAGACACATGCTTTTGTTTACATTAGATGACAACTTACCTGGAATACAATACAGCAATACAGAAAAATCTGGCTAACAATTTGGGCATTTTAATTAGTAATATAACTCATTTTAAACTAAAACTTACTTGAAATACAATTTATCCTTTTCTAACTGAATTGTAGGATTTTTACAATCTTCCAAAGCTATCTTCAAATATATAAGATGTTTCCTTTGAGCCCATAGAACAGGAGGAGGAAGAAGTCTGAAAGTCATCATTTTTAAATTATTCAAAAAAAATTAAATTATTAAATTATTAAACATTTAAATAATATAATAAAAACTACACAAATTATATCAATTATATTATATAAAGTCCTTTGTTCAAGAAATATTTAAATTTATTTATTTCCATTAAGAAATTTAGTGTCTAATAGACATAAAAAACTATCCTCAAAACAATGGACTTGCTTCACTTTCAAAATTAATTAATGAATTATTGGAAGCATTAATTAAACTGCTAACAATTCAGTTAGTGAGAGCAATTCAGTTACCCTTATTTTTAATAACAGCGACAAAATATTTATTTTATTTAACTAGGATATTGAGCAACTTTGTCGTATCGCAACAGAATTGAAAGCAGGAAAGAAAAAAGTGACCTCTGCAGTTGGCTGGCCACAGGAAATTTGACCCTTGCCTGCCAATTACAGAGAGGCAATCAAAGAACAAAGCAAATGTCATTGATTGCTTTGTGCTGTTTTGTTTGTTTTTCGTGCCTATTTTCCATTAGGCACACACAATGCTGTTTTTACCTTTGACTCCTAAACTCAGTTATTGTGCACTCAGTCGTGTCAGGAAGCAGAAACATTGTCACTTTGTTTTTGATTTAGCCTACATTGGAGTCAATCACAAACCCTTATCTTTTACATTTAAACGGACACACATTATATTATTGGATTACTCATCGAAATTAATAAAAAATGGAAAAGGTTCAAAATTGGCTCATCAAACTCTGAGAACGAACTCAATTCCATAAGCTCATAGAATAATCACTAGTGACCTTGGGAATTGGCCAACGAAGTCACATGATTTGTGTGATATTGCTTTGTTACAGGTGCTTGTGCTAGGACCATATATCTCAAAAACAAAGTCTTGGACTCCCATTTTTTGGATTCCTCATCACAATTAATGAAAAATGGCAAAGTTTAATGAAAATTGATCAATCAAACTATGCAATCAAATGTAATTTTGTAAGCCATACAGAAGAGGCTCCACTAAGGCTACCCTCAAATATTCATTCATTTGATGAAAAATAAAACTAGAACACCAAAATTATATATTCTCATTAATGATTTTTATTGCTTTGTATTTATATTTTGAATTTTATTTAGGGTTTAGCATTTTAAGTATTTGTTATGAACAGGCGTGTATGCAGGTTTACCACACACCTGTTCATCATAAATATTTTAAGCATTTACAAATTCTTGTAGCATTTTAGTGAAAAACTGGTGACAGCTTAAACAGCTGTTGCTAGTTTTTCACTAAAATGCTACAAGAATTTAGATTTAGCAACAACTTTCTTAGCACAAAATAAACGTCTTCCAAATATTAACACTGTATTGAGTAATAAACATCCACAAACAAAACCTTTTTTTTTTTTTATCAGTGTTGTATTTGACACAAAACCCACTAATGTTTTCAGCCTCCACCAAGTTAGTTCAGCACCTGAAGAAGGCCTTGGTGTAGGCTGAAAATGTTAGTGTGTGTTGTGTCGAATACAACACTGATTAAAAAAAAGGTTTTGTTTGTGGATGTTAGTTTCTTAGCGAAATGTGCTAAGAAATAAACGTCTTCCAATTGGTTAAAGCATCTTAAAAACCTTAGTTGTTAAGATGTTTTAACTAGTGATGGAACAATACCAAAATTTTTCAAGATTTGGATTCTTTTGAATACTTTCTAAAGTTTACTTTAGTTTAGAAAACTTAACAATTTATATTACAAGCACAATACATTCATTAATTAATAAACATAAAGCTTAAGAATGGAAAATGATTGGGAAATCCAGAATCAAACTTTTGAAAGAAACCCAAAAATTCTAATTTATATCTAGTTATGCATGCTTTTCTTGAAATAAATTTGTAATCTTATTGCAGATAAAGTTAATATTGCAAACACTACCCCACACAAATTACAGCTAATTCCCTTTTAGTGGAAAAAAACCCAAACTATCCCATTGTGTCATCTAAGGTTGCCATCTTTGAAAACTGATTCAATGTCCTGAGGCAGGAGGAAGGTAATGAGAAGATGCATTTGCTTTTTTAATGCTTCTCACAATTGGTATGCCTCTTAAATGCTGCAATTTTCCATAGTATTTAACACTAAATGAGGTTCAGCAAATCATGTAACAAGCCATACAAATATCATCATCATCACAAGTTAACCAAGTTTTGAATTAATTTACTTGAGCCATGTTTTCCTAAATGCACTGTGTGTGTACTTATTCAAGGAAAAGAAGAATTAAATGAATGCCTAGACTGATTCATCTTAAAAAAAATCAATTTTTAAAACTTAAAATGGCAATAAATTTATCACAATGGGCATGTCTTGTAAATGATAAATTAGATTCATTCAATTCAGAGTTGGTGAATATCAACTCGAGATTTGCAGACTGTATTTGTCTGCAAATCTCTGAGTTTAAAGTTATTAGTATTTGACTTGAGATTCGGAGTTTGTAAATATCAATTTATCAATAACTCGAGAGTTAACCCTAACTCATGTTAGTGAATACGGAGTAAGTGGGACAACAGTAGTGAATTCGATCCTGGTCCTTATTTCTAATCCCGGGATTATACTTATCCAATCCCGGAATCATTTCGGTATTGAGGGTTAATAAAAAATAAGAAAATCTTACAGAAATCAAAATTTAGACAAAAATCAACGTATTTTACAGTATACACCTAGTTAATTTAATCACTCTAACTAATCTGACTTAGAGTCAGACTAACCAGACTTAAAATCACTGTTTCATGTTAAATTTATTCTTTTTTAAGCATCACTGAGATCTCTTTAAACTCACATAAATTGAAAAAAACCTTTATGTAACAAACTATGCAAATAAACGTTGAAAATTAACAAAAATCTCTCTTAACATCGACTAAATAGACTACTTTCATATAACAACCTAGTAAGTAGGTAGTAAAGTAAGTTTCTTAGCAAAAAGTATTTAAAAATAATATTAATCAGTCACATTTTTCTTAAATATAAAGAAAACTAATCTAATAGGAACATTCTAATTTGAATTGCGAAAATATGATCTGAGAAATAACAACGCATCCAGTGTCTCATCACCAAGTCTGCTTCTCAATTTGTTGCACATATATGCAGCTGCTGAGAAAACGCGTTTAGGTTTGATGGAAGTTGGAGGAATCGTTAGTAAATACTTATAAGCTTCGAGGACACGGGGAGGATGGAAAGAAACAGTCCGGTCGACACGGATCGGGATTGTAGGAGTAAAGGCTACAATCCCGATTGTTTCGATCATTGTAAGCATGTCTTTCAAAAAATAAACGCGTTAATTTTGTAAATTCGGTCTCTGTGTAAGTCTCTCAGCATCCAGCAAACCACTACCCTGAAACGTAAAAAGACTTTCTCGCATCATCCTGACAGATCGCAGGCAAGGCGAGGGTCGTAACCTTTTCACCTAAGGTCAACCCCCCTAAGCAAGAGGCGTCGGGTCTATATTAACCACACTGGCAAAACAAGATGGCTGACACATTGACAGGTAAAACACACTGAGTAGTGCTCTCGACTGCGCCAGAAAATCGATTGGCGCCCGCAAAAATTCAAAAATACAAAAATGAAGTATATTACCAAGTAACCCAGTGAGAACTGCTTGCCTATCATTTTAGTTGAAAATACAAGTTTTATTCCAAGCAAGCAAGCCCGCTAGGTTAATTTCTGCTGCTTACTTGGAATAAAATTTCTTGTATTTATATTAAAATGATAGGCAAGCAATTCTGTTAAAAGCACTGGCACTAAACGTTTCACTTCATGCAGTCTATTTTGCAACTTTTTTTAAAATGATGTCAATCCCGAAAATCTCGGGATTAGGAAAACTTAATCCCGAAAATTTTGGGACTGAAAAGTGATCGGGATCCCGATTTTCGAGATCCCGGGATCAAATCCTCTAGACAAGTGACTCTCATCAATACATTCTAAGGAATCTCTCAAATACAGTCTGCAATTCATCCCCCAATATAACATTGGTATTGAAGATGAAATCTACAGGACTGATTCCCTTGGCATCATAACATTCAGATAATGAATCTACAATTACTGTAAGTAGGAAGTCAGTTTCAAGATTTATGCTAATGTGAGGCTCTGGACAGGTCCGAACCCTCACTAAAATTTGCATTAAAATAATTTTGTTTTAAAGAAAAAATATAGTAGTTAAAAATAAATTTTTTAAATATGAAAATGTGATGCTAAGTTTTAAACAATAGAATAATGTAAGTCCGTCGACCATCTCCGGTTGGAGATCAAATTAAACATTGATTTTGAGATTTTGACCTCTCCCGCACCCCCGAAAGGTTTCGAATTGTCATCAGGTGACAAGGTGACCAATCGGAAAGCGGAATTGGAGGAAATGGATAAAACCCCACACATTCAAGGATGCAACGGCGTCTTCTCCTGAAAGTTCCAAGTGACGGATCTATTGTAGTGTGTGTGTCTTGTGCCCATCTTCATCTCCATTTCCTGACTTCAGATCAACATCTTTCCATCAACAGAAGTCGACCTCATCGTCCCGGAGCCGTCAAGACATCAATGGAAGTGTTCATTTGCAAACAAGGGACACTCCTTCAAAATGGGACTATCTTGGAAAGGAGAGGACGATCCAGAGACCACTGTCGCCATAGAACTTCCAAGATCACAGAAATCTTGTAAGCATCTTTCTTGCATAATAAACAGGTTGTGCAGTTGTAAACGAGGCATCTATCTCTGACTCAACTGTTCCCACATGTTGTTGATTGTTACCACTCGACAGTCCAGACGGCAATGGAGTCGATGACAATAAATATCACATATAATCGTTAAATTACGTTTATTAAATTTCTCCCCCTCAGCTCCCACACTAATAAAATATGCCAGACAAATATCAGTTTCACATCATTTAAAGAAAATGGCTCAAATGGAATAATACAATAGCCATTAGGGCAAATAAGAATAAATTATCATACTCATGAAATGCAACATATACCACAAACA